TTAAGTGTGAGGAGCAGTGGAACAGGCCCATCAGGAAGTCAGAAGTTGATGTGCAGGCACCACAAACCTACAGACAGAGAGTGGGTTTGTTGAGGCTGAGTTGTGGAACAGATGGAGCTGTTGATATGAGCGGGTTTTTTCCTTTAAAACGAGAAAAGAATTCCTTTAAAAGTGAATTCCTTTAAAGGTGAATTCCTTTAAAAGTGTCCAACGAAAGCCCTGGAGACTCTCCATCCAGGTAGAGCAGCACAGAGCGCTCATGGCTGGTGTTATCCCATTTTTCCTACGTGTTCACTTGAGGTGGAAAATGGGTGAGGCTGCCACAGCAACCTGAACCCAGAGAAGCCTCCCGGTGACCCAGAACCACCTGGGAGTGGACAAGTGCCCAGGATTAGGGTAAACACACCAAAATAACGTGAAAACAGGATTTTCCAACGGGAATCTGCACGGGTGCCTTTCATCCTTCTCCTCCAACAGCTCTGCCCCTCTCCTTTGTTTTTCCTTCACAAGCCGACTTGCCAGAGAAGGGACAGGAGGGTGGAAGAGCCTTGCTCTGGCTGCTTTCCCTCCGACAACAGAGGCAATGGTGCTGCCAGCCCTCCTTCAAGGGCTGGATTGATGTCCCTGCCTCGTGCTAGACCCAGCTGGGAGAAGGGGAATTAGGCCTTGTCTTTCAATTACTGCTGTTTTGCTCAGGGCCTCACACCGGAGCCTCCCAGCGGAGAAGTCCCTTCTTGCCGCTTGTAATCTCCGGGTTGTATTTGAAAATAAAGCTTTTAATTAAAACTGGCGTTTCTCAGCTTCCCACTGGCAGCCAACATCTGCCTGGGAAGGGAGATCTTTTGTGACACTCGCAGTACAGAGAGAGAGTAAACTAATTCCCCCTCTCCTGCCGGAGATGAGACGGGAACGCAGGAGCTCCTCGACGCTCGGGTCCGTCAGAGACCCCTCGGCATTTCCCAGCAGCAAGGGGGTTAATCCCGTGACCTGGCAGCATTCCAGCTCCGTGATCTCCCTCTCAAATCCCCCACCCTGCAGTTCCACACGTGACATAATCCCCCTTTCCCGTGTCCTGTCATTACAGAACCAGAGAATCGCAGAATATCCTGAGCTGGGAGGGACCCACAAGGATCATTGATCCAACTCCTGGCCCTGCCCAGACACCCCAGCAATCCCACCCTGTCCCTGAGGGTGTTGTCCAAATGCTCCCTGAGCTCTGGCAGGTTTGGGAAGTGCCCTCTGCCCTGGGGAGCCTGGTCAGTGCCCAACCACCCTCTGGGGGAAGAACCTTTCCCTAAAATCCAACCTAACCCTCCCATGGGAGCTGCTGATGCACAGAGTTAAACAGCAGCTTTTTCCCAACTCCAACACACTCCCCCTGATCTGAAGACAAACCCTGTGGAAAATTTCACTCCCAGAGCAATATTTTTCAGCAGCTGAAAAGGACCATTTCAAATGCTGTCACCTAAGAAAGACCATAACAACCCTGTCTGGATTATCTCCCTTAATTAACATCCAGGAGAGTCTCAACGGTAAAATTCTTTAAGGACTTGCACTGTAAAGTTCTTTAAGGACTTGAATTCCCCAATGACACAATCGAATCCTCTTTCGAGATCTTTTAAATGTGATGTGACTCTTCCTGTCTTCTAAGTGAGGATCTAGGCAGTGGAAGTTGATTTTATTGTGGCTGTTTCTCAGGGGGGGTCCTGGGGGCAAGGGTTTTCCTCTGCTCGCTGTCCTGTGTTCTCACAGGGTTTCTCGTCCTCCCCCCTGCCCTTCAGGCACTTTGTGCCCCAAATCTGTCATGGTCAGCCTAATCCTGGTGAGGGAGAGTGGGCAGAGGGCAGATGGAAGTGACTTATAGACAATATCTCTGATGGTCACATCAGACATCTGCGCCCTGACTTTTACAAGTTTCGTGATGTCCGGGAATTCCAAAAACCAAAAAAAAAAAAAAAAAGTGAAAAA